TTTGGAACTGCCTACATCGCTGGCGTCATGTCGCCAAGGAATCGATACTCAAAAAGAGGATCTGTTTCTGGATTTACCCAGTCAGCCCCCAGCTGGCTCTTCGGCAGTGGCGCTTGTCGTTCGGTTTTGGTCAAAGTAACACTTGTGTTTTGGAAAAGAAAACTAACTTATCTGAAACCGGATCCACGCATCGCGGTCCTTCATCCTCGACGCGGTCGAGACGGCGACCTGACTTGACTGACACCCACCATGATCGACATCGACGAACAGGCTCAGCCTCATACAGCTATGTACATACTGACGAACGGTGTTCGACGTCCGTCGCGAACGAATCTCCTCGGCGCGCTGACGTCCATCTGGCAGCGAAGCACCCAGGTACCGCTTGCGCTGTCACCCGTCCAAAGTCCATCGTATCTATCCGTATCCGCCTGCCCCTGCCCCAGGGCCCTCGCATCATTCCACCTCTCCATCATCTCCAGGTTCTCCTCTTCCACTTCTCCATGGCTATCTAGTATCTATCCAACAAACACCCCTTGCCGCTTGCGCCGAATCTCACACTTTGCCCCGTTCACACCCCTGCGCCGAAAACAGCTATCATACACTCCATCCATCCATCCGCGGCCGCAGTCCGCCTGCCACCGAAGGAAGGTACAATCTCTATAATATTATATTTATTTACTGTTCGGTGCAGCCCATGTACCGAGGCGAGCCATCGTCTATGTATACGTCGCTATCCTCCCGCCGCGCCGCTCCCATGCCATCCTCCCTCGACAAAAATAAAATAACAGTGTGGTTTGATATGTGCGAATCAGAACAAGATCATGCGTGTGCGTGCGGTGCGGGTGACCAAGAATGGATGGATGAAATGAGAGTAGTCGGTGCGGGGAGATAATTAATTATCGAGGGGTGGGGAGTAAAGAAAAGAAAAGAAAGCCCAAGCGCAGGAAGACCAAGAAAGAGTATGTACGTATGGATAGCTGAATAGTGCGCAAAGGAAGAATGTACGATAGGGGGCGGAAGCGAGGACAGCGAGGGAATGGCATGGGTGAATGAGCGTTAGACTGGTCGAGTCCGTGAGAGCGTCGCCGTTTTGCAAGTCAGTCGGGTACATTGTCGCTGTGCATTATTGGCGGCAGCATGAGGAGAGCAGAATGAAGGCCGGGCGGGCTCAGCACTTCTCCCACATCTTCACTGAGTCGCTACATCGTACAACCATCAGCTTTTCTCTCCAAAGACGGAAGGGAAGGGAGAGACGCACACAACCATCGCGCGATGGAACTCGTCCTGCGGCCACGTGTTGTACCACTGGTTCTTTGCGCGCAAAAAGTCGAGCGGGGCGGCTAGACGCGCGTTACAATCAGCATTGGAGGGAGGGTGCAGAGGAGGGAAACGACGCACTGCCCGACCCGTCGAGCCACGGCTTCTCCGGCCCATCGGGGAACCACCCGTTCGTCCCGCCCACCGCGACGTTCATGATCAGGTAGAAGCCTAGCGCGCACGCGGCTCGTCAGTCTTGTTTGTGGCGGGGAGAAGCGAGCGAGAGAGACGTACGCTGGTCAAACGGCGCGGCCTTGGTCCCGTTCACCCACGGGTTGTCGAGCACGACGCTCTGGCTCCCGTTCTGCACGACCGTGGGGAAGTCCCCGCGCTCCCAGAACGACTGCTTGATCTTCGTCTCGAACATATACTGCAGCCGCGAGTCGACGTACATACGGCTGTGGGCGCGTCAGCATGTGAGTGTGCGTCCGCAGCGAGTGCACGCACATAAAGTCCTCGCTCCACTCGAGCGCATACGTGTGGAACCCGTCGTCGTACCGGCCCCGGCGCCTTACCCACCACCCGTACGTCTTCGCCACCGCGTTCAGGAACGTCGCCGGCCCCCAGTTGAGCGACGAGCGCACGTAGTTGATGCCCCTGTGCCGTGTCGCGGCGTCAGCATTATTCCGAAAGCGTAAATGGAAGGGGGAGGGGGGGAGAGAGGAGAGGTATGAACGCACTGTTTATTATAGCTGGGCCCGTTCCCACGCGCCTCCATGATGTCGATCTCGCCGCTGAGCGGCCACCCGCCGTACACGCTGTCGACGGGCAGCATCCAGATCGCGGGCCACAGCCAGTCGCCCGTGGGGAGCTTCGCGCGCACCTCGACGCGGCCGAATCTGGGTGGGGAGAGTGCGTCAGAATGCGATTTTGTATGCCAGGAAGGGAGGAAGACGGCAAGAGCCGCGGCGCATGATTGACGAGGACGGGGACGGGACACTCACTTAATGCTCGCGCTCCGCCGCGTGCTAATCCGCGCGCTCATCACGGGCGGGAGGATCTTGCCCTCAGTGGCGTTCGAGACGGCGGAGCACGCGGCGAGGTACGCGGGGAGGTCGAGCGGCGCGTCGGGCGCGATGCCGCCGCCGCCGCTCGTGCCCTCCGTCGTGTTGATCCCCGCCGCGCCGTGCCCGCTCGTCGTGTACCCCGACGAGTGCGTGAGGTTGTACGTGCAGCCCGTGAGGTTGTACACCGCGCCGTCTAAAGTGAGTTAGGAAACGGTTAGAGGGAGGAGGGGAGGGGGGGAGAGACGCACCGAGGATGCTCCCCTCGGGGAGGACGTCGCTCGTGAGCGTGGGGACGAGGTACAGCTGCCCGTCGCGCACGAAGCTGTTCGCGTCCGAGGCCGTCGTCATCTCGAACTCGCCGTTCCTGGGGGGGGGGGGGGCGTGTGAGCACGAGCTCGAAAGAACAGCACCCGGCTTACCCGAACCCGCTCGCGTCGACCTCGCGCAGCCAGGTGCCGCCCTCGCCCGCGACGCCCGTGCCGAACAGCCCCGCGGTGTCGACGGAGGAAAAGTCCTCGTCCATCACGGGGCAGAGCTTGTCGTCAGCAGGAGGACGGAGGTGTACCCGAAGTAGGTGCGCACGGCGCCGGCGGCGATGCCTGGAGCGTGGGCGTCAGCGATGCGGTGGGGGGTAGGAGGAGGGACGCAGCGCACCGAACAGAATCATGCCATACGTGATCCAGTACGCGGCGCGCGAGTGGGGGTCGCGCACGCCGACCCAGGGCTTGAGGAGGGACGTCTTCAGCGTGGGGCGCGCGCCGGGCTTGGGCTTAGGGGTGTCGTCTGCGGGGTTACATCAGAATTCAATTTTTTTGCGGGGAAGAGGCGGCACCCACCATCCGCGACCGTCGAGCTCGGGACCAGCAGCGCCGTGCTCTTCGGCCGCTCCCGTCGCAGGCGCGCGGTGCTGGGCGCGGCGTAGATCGTCAGCGGGCGTGCGGGCGGGGACGCGAACGCCTCGCGCTTGCCGCCGGGCTTGCCGTCGCCTGCGGTCGTGGGGCGGCTGTTCGGGCGCAGCGAGGAGGTGCCGGTGCCGGGGCGGCTGCCCGGGGTGCGGGGGAGCTCGACGACGGACGAGGCGCGCGTGCTGGCGGGGGTGGCGAAGTACGAGCCCGAGCCGGAGTGCGCGTGCGTGTGGCCGTTGGGCGAGTGCATGCCCGGGACGGGGGTGTCGAAGGACGCGCTGAAGCTGCGCACGGAGGCGGGGGGCGAGAAGGGGTTTGCCTGGGTGGGGGTGCCGCCGCCGGCGAAGGGGTTTTGCGGCGGCGTCGAGGGCGGCGGCGGAGGGGGAGCGGGAGAGGGAGTCGCGCGGGGCGGGCGGGGTGAGGAAGGAGAGGCTGCGGGGGCTGACGGGCGGCGACGCGGCGGGGGAGGACGACTCGGACACGGCGGGGGAGGCGTCGCTGCTGCCGGAGGCGGGGTGCGCCGCGAAGGGCGGGTTGGGCGGGAGCGGGGTGAAGTCGAGGGGGGCGGGGCGGGCCATGGGCGAGTGTGAGGGTCGAAGGGGCGCTCAGACTAGGCAGACCAGAAAGCAAGGCGGTAATATAGAAAAGGGCTCGCGATTTGTACGCCACCGGCCATTGCCCCAGCAGTCAACCGATGCTTCTGCCTTCTTCGTGTCATCTCGGCCGCATGCGTGCCATCGCGTCCCTATCAAGGGGCACCCAATCTGCCTGCCACCCTGTCGCGTCTGCCTGTCTAATCTTCGGCTTGTACTCCCTTTCTTGTTCTCGTACATCCCGGTCCCCGGAAAACAAGGGTCTCCACTGAGAAAAGAAAAGTCGGCGTTTGTCGCTCCCAAGTAGTCTTCTGCTCGGCGTTTGCGAGTGGAGAGATTCTCTCAATTTCGCCATCAGGAAGAAGGAAAGAACAGAAAACATACACACACCCGATTGGGCGGAATCCCATCGGAATCCCAATCAAATCCCAAGGCTATGTTGGATTTAAACGGCGTTTAGGTACGCGCGCGCGAATGCTCCCACACTTAGAATGAAGAGGCGGTGTCCGGACGGAGATCTGCAGATCGGGCATGACGGAATGCATGCATTCAGTCGCGCTATCTCTGATAGTGGGCCTGGCGCTTGTTCTGTCTTTGACGGCGAAATCCCGCGTCCGAGTCCAACCGAAAGGGAACAATATCAGGCCCAGGGCGAAATCAACTTGTCGATAACATTAATATTCATAAAAAACATTCCATCCATCTCGGGAGTTTCTTGTAGACCGGCACCTTATCGGCGAGTTAATATACTGAGCTCTAGATCTCTTTCGGAATGAGAACAAATGGGAAAAAAGTGACTGCACCAAACAACTCCACGACCTGGCCCGGAGTCGAACCGGGAATTCCCGCAAACATCTAATATATCCTCAGTGCTCACGGGTGTGATCCATTCACCAACAGGTCTTATACCACACATTCAATCCTTGGATATATCCCACCGTTTCAAAATCCTGGTGAGAGAAAGAAAAAAAATTGACCAAAAAAAAAGCAATATCACGCATGGAATATGACCTGGCCCGGATTCGAACCGGGACTCCCACAGATGTACGAGGAGATGTCTAAGTGAGGTGGGTGTGATCCATTCACCACATATTCAATCCTTGGACATATCCACCCTTTCAAAATCCTGGTGAGAGAAAGAAAAAAAAATTGACAACAAAAACCGACACCTTGACTGATGACCTGGCCCGGATTCGAACCGGGACTCCCACAGATGTACGAGGAGATGTCTAAGTGAGGTGGGTGTGATCCATTCACCACCAGGTCTTGCTCCCTCCATCTACAAGCTGTATTTATCCCCCACTTTTTGGTGTCTACAAAATGAATTAAATTGGGTGCTACAACAAAACTTCACACGGAAGCAGTAACAACCTGGCCCGGATTCGAACCGGGAGCTCCTATGCGCATATGCGAAACCATTATAAAGTGAGTAGGTGTGATCTATTCACCACCAGGTCTCATTCCCACCTTCTACAAACTGCATTTATACCCCACTTTTTGGCGTCTCCAAAGCGAATTAAATTGGGCGCTGCAACAAAACGGTACTCAAAGAACTAGTACAACCTGGCCCGGATTCGAACCGGGAGCTCCTATGCACCAATAGTGACGAAGTCATAAAGTGGGTAGGTGTGATCCATTCACCACCAGGTCTTGCTCCCTCCATCTACAAGCTGTATTTATACCCCACTTTTTGGTGTCTACAAAGCGAATTAAATTGGGTGCTGCAACAAAACGGTACTCAAAGAACTAGTACAACCTGGCCCGAATTCGAACCGGGAGCTCCTATGCACCAATAGTGACGAAGTCATAAAGTGGGTAGGTGTGATCCATTCACCACCAGGTCTTGCTCCCTCCATCTACAAGCCGTATTTATACCCCACTTTTTGGTGTCTACAAAGCGAATTAAATTGGGTGCTGTGATAAAACTTTACTCAAAAAACCAATAACCTGGCCCAGATTCGAACCGGGGACACCCACCGCATACAGTGTAGATGCACAAGTCAAGTGGGGATGAGCCATTCACTACCAGGTCTTGCTCCCTCCATCTACAAGCTGTATTCATACCCCACTTTTTGGTGTCTCCAAAATGAATTAAATTGGGTGCTGCGATAAAACTTTACTCGAAAAACCAATAACCTGGCCTGGATTCGAACCGGGAACTCCTGCGCACAGAGGTGACGGTAATGACATACGCAGAGTGAGTAGATGTGATCCATTCACCACCAGGTCTTACTCCCTCCTTCTACATGCTGTATTTATACCCACTTTTTGGTGTCTACATAACAAAATGAATTAAATTAGGCACTGTGATAAAACTGTACTCGAAATCGGTACGACCTGGCCTGGATTCGAACCGGGAGCTCCTATGCATATACACGACGCAATGATAAAGTGGGTAGGTGTGAGCCATTCACCACCAGGTCTTATTCCCTCCTTCTACAAGCTGTATTTATACAACACTTTCTGGTGTCTACAAAATGAATTACTGAAAAAAATCACAGCCCAAAACGCAAATGACCTGGCTCGGATTTGAACCGGAAAAACCCACTTTACTTCGTGGTGACGACATAATTGGGGTGGGTGTGATCCCCTCACCACCAGGTCTTATTCCTGCCTTTTATACACTGGATTTATACCCCACTTTTCGGTGTCTGCATACTAAAATGAATTAAATTGGGTGCTGCGACAAAATTGTCTGTCGAAGTAGCCACAACCTGGCCCAGATTCGAACCGGGAGCTCCAATGCACACATGTGAGCGAGCCTGCTATAAAGTGGGTAGTGTGATCCATTCACCACCAGGTCTTATACCACATATCCAATCCTTGGATATAGAGGATCCCACCGTTTCAAAATTCTCATGAGAGAATGAAAAAAAGTTGACAAAAAAAACTCCATCGCCGCGAATACGCCATGACCTGGCCCAGATTCGAACCGGGGACACCCACCGTATCCTGGACCTCAAATGTAAGTAAAGTGGGTATGAGCCATGCACCAGGTCTTATTCCTCCTTCTACGAGCTGTATTTATACCCCACTTTTTGGTGTCTACATAACAAAATGGATTAAATTAGCGCTGGACAAAATTTTAGCCGAAGTAGCCACGACCTGGCCTGGATTCAAACCCGGAGCTCCAATGCACACATGTGAGCGAGCCTGCTATAAAGTGGGTAGTGTGATCCATTCACCACCAGGTCTTATACCACATATCCAACCCTTGGATATATCCCACCGTTTCAAAATCCCGGTGAGAGGACAAAAAAAAACTGATAAAAAAAAGCAACCCGCCTATATCATGACCTGGCCCGGATTCGAACCGGGGACACCCACTGTATCCCAGCATACAGAGATACTTACATAAGTAAGGTGGGTATGAGCCATTCACCACCAGGTCTTATTCCCTCCTTCTACAAGGCGTATTCATGCTACACTTTTTTTCGGGTTTACAAAATGAATTAAATTGGGCGCTGCAACAAAATTGTCTCGAAATGGGCACGACCTGGCCCGGATTCGAACCGGGGACACTCACCATATCCTGACATCAAAGGCAAGTAAAGTGGGTATGAGCCATGCACCACCAGGTCTTATTCCCTCCTTCTACCAGCTGTATTTATACCCCACTTTTTGGTATCTAATAACAAAATCAATTAAATTGGGCACTGCAGCAAAATTGGATGGAAGAGACCACACGACCTGGCCCGGATTTGAACCGGGAGCGCTCCTATGCCCTGATTGCGGAAATCATAAAGTGGGTAAGTGTGATCCATTCACCACCAGGTCTTATACCACATATTCAACCCTTGGATATGGAGTATCCCACCGTTTCAAAATTCCAATGAGAGAAAGAAAAAAAATTGACAAAAAAAAGGGAACCCAAATGTACTATGACCTGGCCCGGATTCGAACCGGGGACACCCACTGTATCTCCACGGAAATGCAAGTAAAGTGGGTATGAGCGATTCACCACCAGGTCTTACTCCCTCCTTCCACAAGCTGTATTTATACCCACTTTTTGGTGTCTACATAACAAAATGGATTAAATTGGGCAGCGATAAAAGATCGACTTGAAGTGACAATGACCTGGCCCGGATTCGAACCAGGAGCTCCTATGCACCGATGGCAATATGTAAAGTGGGTAGGTGTGAGCCATTCACCACCAGGTTTTATTCCCTCCATCTACAAGCTGTATTTATACCCCACTTTTTTGGTGTCTACATAACAAAATGGATTAAATTGGGCGGCGATAAAAGATCGACTCGAAGTGACAATGACCTGGCCCGGATTCGAACCGGGAGCGCTCCTATACACATTTGCCGAAGATGCTACAAAGTGGGTAGGTGTGATCCATTCACCACCAGGTCTTATTCCCTCCTTCCACAAGCTGTATTCATGCTACACTTTTTGGTGTCTACTTAACAAAATGAATTAAATCGGGTGCTGCAGCAAAATTGGATGGAAGAGGCCACACGACCTGGCCCGGATTCGAACCGGGAGCACTCCCATGCACATTTGCCGAAAATATTATAAAGTGGGTAGGTGTGATCCATTCACCACCAGGTCTTATACCACATATTCAATCCTTGGATATATCCCACCGTTCAAAATCCCGATGAGAAGGAAAAAAAAACACCAAAAAACGGACTATATCGAAGACAATGACTGGGCCCGGATTCAAACCGGGGACACCCACTGTATCCTGACATCAAAGGCAAGTAAAGCGGGTATGAGCCATTCACCACCAGGTCTTATTCCCTCCTTCTACAAGCTGTATTTATACCCCACTTTTTGGTGTCTACATAACAAAATGAATTGAATTGGGTGCTGCAGCAAAATTGGGTGGTGAGCCATGACCTGGCCCGGATTCGAACCGGGAGCTCCTATGCACCAATGGCAGCAGTTATGAAGTGGGTAGGTGTGATCCATTCACCACCAGGTCTTACACCACATATCCAACCCTTGGATATAGAGTATCCCACCATTTCAAAATCCCGGCGAGAGAAAGAAAAAAAAACAGACAAAAAATAGACTTCATTGAGGATCATGACCTGGCCCGGATTCGAACTGGGGACACCCACCGTATCCTGACATCAAAGGCAAGTAAAATGGGTGTGAGCCATTCACCACCAGGTCTTATTCCCTCCTTCTACTGTATGTCCGTGTATGTAGGCAACGCAGCCCCCAACCGTGACAGCCAAAACGGTTTTCGGCAACGCAACCGAGTCATTCGTTACCGTGACTGTTGCAAATTTGGGCAACTGTCCATTGTAATTTCCCCTTTACAACAGCTCGTGGGGTGGAAAAGGGGCTTCAAAATCAAGAAGAGAAGCTTTGTGGAACAAGCCCCCATGGTCTAGAGGCTTTTTGGGCTATAATTTCTGGAAATATATATATTTTATTTTTTGTAACGCTATTTTCCAAAGCAACCGACCTGACCGTTACCGTGACCAAGCTGGGTTTGGGCAACGCAACCAGCCCCTCCGTTACCGTGACGGTTGCTTCCATACACGGACGTACAGTACAAGCTGTATTTATACCCCACTTTTTGGTGTCTACATAACAAAATGAATTGAATTGGGTGCTGCGACAAAACTGTACAAGATGTGGAAACAACCTGGCCCGGATTCAAACCGGGAGTGCTCCTATGCACATTTGCCGCAGATGTTATAAAGTGGGTAGGTGTGATCCATTCACCACCAGGTCTTATACCACACATTCAATCCTTGGATATATCCCACCATTCCAAAATCCCGGCGAGAGAAAGAAAAAAATTTGACAAAAAAACCAACACCACCAAATTAATGTACTATGACCTGGCCTGGATTCGAACCGGGAGCACTCCTATGCACCGATGAGGGCAGAATTAGTAAAGTGGGTAGGTGTGATCCATTCACCACCAGGTCTTATTCCTGCCTCCTACCAGCCGTATTTACACACCACTTTCGGTGTCTACATAACAAAATGAATTAAATTGGGTGCTGTGACAAAACTGTACAAGATGTGGGAATGACCTGGCCCGGATTCGAACTGGGAGCGCTCCTATGCAGATTTGCGGGACATGTTATAAAGTGGGTAGGTGTGATCCATTCACCACCAGGTCTTATTCCCTCCTTCTACAAGCTGTATTTATGCTACACTTTTTTTGGGTTTACAAAATGAATTAAATTGGGCACTGTGACAAAACCATACGCGAAATCGATACGACCTGGCCCGGATTCAAACCGGGAGCGCTCCTATGCACCGATGGGGGCCGAATTGTAAAGTGGGTAGGTGTGATCCATTCACCACCAGGTCTTATTCCCTCCTTCTACGAGCTGTATTTATACCCCACTTTTTGGTGTCTACATAACAAAATGAATTATGTAAATTGGGCGCTGCAATAAAATTGTCTAGCGAAATGGGTATGACCTGGCCCGGATTCGAACCAGGAGCACTCCTATGCACTAATGGCGGCCAAGTCATAAAGTGGGTAGGTGTGATCCATTCACCACCAGGTCTTACTCCCTCCATCTACAAGCTGTATTTATACCCCACTCTTGGTGTCTACATACCAAAATGAATTAAATTGGGTGTTGTGACAAAATTGCGCTGAAATGGCCACGACCTGGCCCGGATTCGAACCGGGAGCTCCCATACACATTTGCGACAGATGTTATGAAGTGGGTAGGTGTGATCTATTCACCACCAGGTCTTATACCATATATTCAACCCTTGGATATAGAGTATCCCACTGCCCCAAAATCCCGGCGAGAGAAAGAAAAAAAAAACTGACAAAAAATAGACTTCATTGAGGATCATGACCTGGCCCGGATTTGAACTGGGGACACCCACCGTATTCCGACTTGCCCACAAAATGTAAGTAAAGTGGGTATAAGCCATTCACCACCAGGTCTTGCTCCCTCCATCTACGAGCTGTATTTATACCCCACTTTTTGGTGTCTACAAAATGTATTGAACAGGGTGCCAAAAAAGACCTTTCAGTCACCAGAATGAGTGACCTACCCCGGATTCGAACCGGGAGCTCCTACGCAAACTTGCGATAAACTCAGATACAGCGGGTAGGTGTGATCCATTCACCACCAGGTCTTATTCCTGCCTTCCGCAAGCCGTACTCACACACCACTTTTGGTGTCTACATAACAAAATGAATTACATTTGGTGCTGCAGCAAAATTGGGTGGTGGGCCATGACCTGGCCCGGATTCGAACCGGGAGCTCCCATGTACATTTGCGACAGATGTTATAAAGTGGGTAGGTGTGATCCATTCACCACCAGGTCTTATTCCCTCCTTCTACAAGGCGTATTCATGCTACACTTTTTTTCGGGTTTACAAAATGAATTAAATTGGGCGCTGCAACAAAATTGTCTCGAAATGGGCACGACCTGGCCCGGATTCGAACCGGGAGCGCTCCTATGCACATATGTGAGCGAACCTGCTATAAAGTGAGTAGGTGTGATCCATCACTACCAGGTCTTATACCATATATTCAACCCTTGGATATAGAGTATCCCACTGTTTCAAAATCCCGGTGAGAAAGAAGAAAAAATGACAAAAAATGGACTACATCGCGAGGACTGACCTAGCCCGGATTCGAACCGGGGACACCCACCGTATCCTAACATCCAACCACAAGTAAGTGGGTATGAGCCATTCACCACCAGGTCTTACTCCCTCCTTCTACAAGCTGTATTTATGCTACACTTTTTGGTGTCTACATAACAAAATGAATTAAATTGGGTGCTGTGACAAAACTGTACTCGAAATCGGTACGACCTGGCCCAGATTCGAACCGGGACTCCCACAGATATAAAGGCGGAATAGAATGAGCAGGCATGATCCTTTCACCACCAGGTCCTCCTCCTTCTGTCTACAAGCTGTATTTATGCTACACTTTTCAGTGTATACAAAATGAATTAAACAGGGTGCCAAAAAGACCTTTCCGTCAACAGAATGAATGACCTAGCCCAGATTGCCAAATTTAAATGACCTGGCCCGGATTTGAACCGGAAAAACCCACTTTACTTCGTGGTGACGACATAATTGGGGTGGGTGTGATCCCCTCACCACCAGGTCTTATTCCTGCCTTTTATGCACTGTATTTATGCTACACTTTTTTTGGGCTTGTACAAAATGAATAAATGGGGCACTGAAAAAGTTGCATTTGAACTTCCACATGACCTGGCCCAGAGTTGAACCAGGAAAACCCACATTATCCTGTGGGGTCGAAAATGAGGTGAGGTGGGTTTGATCCATTCACCGCCAGGTCTCCTCCCTGCTTCTATAAGCTGTATTTATGCTATATTTTCTTGTGTCCACAGAAAATTAAATCCGGCACTGAAAAAGATTTAGCTCACACAGAAGGCCATGACCTGGCCCGGATTCGAACCGGGAGCTCCTACGCGCATCAAGCTGAAGAAATAAAGTGAGTAAGTGGGATCCATTCACCACCAGGTCTTACTCCTCCTTGTACAAGCTGTATTTACACAACATATTTTGGTTTCTCTGAAAAATGAATTATTTCGGTGCTCAAAAAGATACTGTATCAACTGCACAAAATGACCCGGAGTCGAATCATGCCCAAGATTCGACCCGAAACTTTGCCAAGACTTCCCACCCACAAATAAGCAATTGCAGGTGGGGACAATTCACCACCAGGTCCTATTACTGGCACCCACTCTGTTGAAAGATAAAGTGAACTATGCCTCAAAAGACTCTGCACACTCCACCTCTCTGTGTTTGACAATTAAGCATATCTTCAGCTTTGGCGCTAGCTGAACTAACTGGATAAAAAATAATCAAGACTGCAAAAATAACGATGCATTGAACCAGGACCTCCCTCAGGGCCCATACAGTACATCTTCTGTCATATCACTAGAATCGGCGTGCTCGGGCCCAGCCGATCTGTGCTTCTCGATCGGTTCCCACTCCACAACCACGCCACGCAAGATGCGCCATGCCGCAGTTCGTTCCTTGGTGCCTCCCACGGTCACTGGCATCTAGTTCTGCTCATGGTCGTCGGGCTCGTACCCTATTATCTGCGAAAAAAAAAGCTTTTCACAATTCTATCGCACAATATCCTTATGTTGTTTCTTCTGCAGAGTCTCTTCCTGTTGTCTCTTTTTTCACGCGGGTTGAAGAACAATGCCAAGTACTCCCGTGCGTCTTCCGCTGCGTTCGGTACTTCTAGCCCGCGCGGAGCGATTGGATTGACCCGAGGACAGAAGAGGACTGATAGCAGATAGATGGAAGAATGAGGCATGGCGTCCGATTTGGCTTCCGGCGTGTTCTAACACTTAGCTCTATCAGGCATTTCCTGTCCGCCCTGCAGCTATATCAGAGTGATCCGGTTAGTTAAATTAGTGCGTCCTAGTGCCCCTGAAACGGACGCGTCATGAATGCGCTCATTGTCGAGCTCGGGCGGTTTTTTATCGCCTTGCACATGTACGCGAAGCGTTCGCAAGGAACGAACAGATTCGTGGCAAGGGAAGAAGAGGTTGCTTTGTTCTTGATGGGAAAACGCGGACGGACACTGTATGTCTGGCCCGAGTTCTCTCTCAGACTC